CTTGCCGATCATCCGCATCCATCAAACTGGTGCTTGCGGTAGCAAACGAGAAGGGCATGAACCTCAATCAATGGGATGTGAAGCAGGCGTATACACACGCTACGCTAGACGTGGAGGTATTTCTGAGGCTCCCCGCTGGGTGCGGGGACAAATGACATCAGATTGGTAAGGCTGAGCGTGCGTTTTATGGTCTGAAGCAGAGCGGTAGGCAGTGAGGGTACCATGCCGCTGATACGCTAGTCGAGAACGGGTTCGAGCAGTGCAAGGGGGACCCGTGTGTTTTCCGCAAGATGGTAGACGATTTCGTGGTGATGATTATCGTGATTTATGTGGATGACATTTTGGTGGCTGGGTCTGACGAGGATTGCGAGGAGTTGCTTGCTTCTCTCAACAAGAAATTTCCCACCAAAAACCTTGGAGAGTGTCAATGGTTTGATGGGTGTGCCATCGAGAGAGATGTAGAGGCTGGGACTCTTAGAATCTCCCAAACCGCGTATATCGACAGCATGGTTGAACGCCTCGATGTGCAATCAACTTCCCGCATCCCCTCTACCCCTGGTGCCGATCTAGGGCCGAAGCGAGAGGATGAGGAAGGAGGGGAGTGGCCGGTGAGGGAGGCCACCGGCAGCATGATGTGGGTGTCAACTTTCTCGCGTCCAGAAGTCTGGTTCGCCGTGCGTGCGGTAGCGCGCGACGCCCACGCCCCGGCGAAGCGGCACTGGGATGCCATCCAGAAGATCCTCGGCTACCTGAAAGGGACTAGGGACCTCGGCATCACCTACCAACGGGGATCGGGGTTAGGGCTTGCCGTGTACGTAGACGCTAGCTACGCCGACACGGAGGATAGGCGTTCGCTGTCAGGGTTGGCGACGACGGTCGGAGGTACCGTAGTCAGCCATGGTAGCAAGACGCAGAGCATCGTGTCTTTGTCGTCGACGGAAGCCGAGTACATTGCTGCCGGGGAGGGCGTCAAAGAGGCGTTGTTTGTGCGTGCTGTGCTTTCGTTTGTTGGCCCAGCGACCAGTGGTAGCAGCATCCAGGTCCTTGAGAACAACCAGGGCGCCATAGCGTTGGTGCAGAACCCTCTCAGCTCAGGTCGCACGAAACACATCGACGTGCGGTTTTTCTTCATCCGCGGATTGTTTAGGTCGGGGGATATTTCGGGCAAGTTTGTCCCGACAACGGAGCAACACGTCGACCTTCTCACCAAGGCCCTTAGCAGGGCCAGTCTGCAGTATCACCGGCGCAAGCTGACGAATTTGCCGGAGTAGCTGTAGCAGTTTCTAGCACTTGGGAGAGGCCATGTTTTCCATGCGGGGAAAGGCGCATAACTGTTGCGATCTGTGTACCAATGGCAGGAGTAGGGGGCGTTGAGAGACCATCGTCCGGGGGAACGTAGTTCCTCGCGTTCTTGTCTCCGCCTTGGCCTTTCTAATAAGTGCGGCCGTTGTGATCCGCTGTGATAATGACGGCTTTTTGTGGTGGTAGGTTTTTTTTTTCCGAGGGGTTTTGCCCGGACGCCGGGTTTCCACTCCATATATTACCATGTTGGTATTTTCTGATGTATCCAGGGGCGTTCTTGCCCAATTGATGGTTCGTCACTTGCGTGAAGAACCAGGGAGGGTGTTCGTTGGTCTGCGAACATTGGTGTTGGATACATGTGCTGGATGATTTTGTGTCACGCAGACTGGTAAGATTACCGTTTGATAGGGGGCACCGCGATGATCCACGGGGCGCCTCCTTGCCGTGGGAGCCGCTCCTTGAGCACTCCCTTTCGTCCGTGTGAAGGACGGTCGTCGACCTCTCGTGAAGTCAATACATCACCAAAACAGTCTCACCCGATAAATAAGTGGCGTAGGCCGCAAACAC